AGACGAGTGGCTCCATCAAGCACGTGCGCGGCTTCAATGGGGCGCTGCAGGACGTTCAGGGTAGTGGCATCGTCGCTCTGCGAGGAGAGGCCGAGAAGGAGGTGCTCATGCCCGACGTGTTGTACGTCCCAGGTGTGCGAGCCAACCTGCTTTCGGCCGACCAGCTGAAGGAGCACGGAGTGAAGCTCCAGGAGGACGGAGACGGCATGCTGCTCGTCTCGGCAGCAGGGGAGATGCTCGGGCGGGCGACGTACTCTGGGCGAGTCCTCTGCACCGACCTGCGTCCCTGCGCGACGAGGTCGACGCCGCCCACGTCGGAGGTGGTGGCTCTGCGGGCGATCGTCTCGAAGACAAAGTCGACGCCGGACCGGATGCATGCGAGGCTTGCACATGTCGGCATGGACACCATACGGAGCTCAGCGAAGAACGAGGTCGCCACTGGGCTGGACCTCAAGTCGGCGACGGACGCCAACTCCCCGTGTGTCTCGTGCGTCGGCGGGAAGGTGGCGCGACACACCTTCCCCGACCACGGCTCCGACGCCGACGACGTGCTGGCCGTCGTGCACATCGACCTGTGCAGGCCGTTTCGCGTGGCTGCCAAGGATGGCAGCCTTTACTTCTTGCTGCTGAAGGACCGCAAGACCCGTTACGTGTGGGTGAAGCCGGTCGCCAAAAAGTCAGATGCCTTGCAAGCGTTCGTGCAGTGGCTGGCGGTGGCTGAGCGGCAGACAAAGAAGTCGGTGTTGATGCTGCGCTCAGACGGGGGAGGGGAGTTCCTCGGGAAGCAGTTCACCGACTTCGTGAACGGCAAGGGGATCGTCCACGACCTGACCTGCCCATACACCCCGCAGCAGAACGGCATGGCGGAGCGGGAGATGAGGACGGTGGTGGAGTCGGTGCGGACAATGCTGCTGCACATGGGCGTGCAGCACCACTGGTGGCACCTCGCTCTCCGGCAGGCCGTCTGGGTCCGCAACTGCCTTGAGAGGTCGGCGCTGCCGCCGGGGACGACGCCGTACCAACTGCTGACTGGGAAGAAGCCCGACTTGTCGCTGGCGCGGGTGTGGGGCTGCATGGCGCAGTTCTTAGTCACCGAGCAGCAGCGTGGTGGGAAGCTGCAGCCGAAGGCCAGGTGGGGCCTGCACCTTGGCGTGTCGGCGGCGAGCAAGGGCTGGGAGCTCCTCGACGTCGACGCCGACCGGGTGGTCACCACGTCGGATGTGGTGTTCTACGAGGAGCTGTCGCTGGCCGAGTGGAAGACGGAGTACGGGTCTGTGTCCGGCCGCTCGTCGCCCACCCCGCCCTCTGACACCTCGTCGGCGACGCTGCCACTGCTTGCCGAGGTCGGTGAGCTTGCTATTACGGACGTCGAGGACATCCGCCCTACCCCTCCCCCTCCGACCCGTGCCCCTCCCCTCGTGGCCGACCTGCGTGGGCTGACCTCGGTGTCAGCCTCCGGCGATGAGGGGAGTAGTGGGACGTCGCCTTCGGCCAAGTGCATCGCCGGTGGCCGACGTGACGAGCGGCAGGTCGACGTGGGATTGTAGTTGACGTCGACAGGGGAGGAGCAGGTCGAGAAGCAGGTCGAGGACCAGCGGCCGACAAAGGAGCAGGCAGCAGTGACGCCGACCAAGGAGCAGTCGGCGACCGGGCAGTCGGCAGGGGAGCCGACCATAGGGGAGAAGTCGGCTGGGACGCCGGCTGAGGAGCAGCAGGACGCCGAGGGCGGCGACAACAGCAACGATGGAGGGGACGCCGAGGAGGTCCAGCAGGGACCACGGCGTTCAGGCCGACTTCGGAGGCCGCCTGACTTCTTCGTCCCCGCTGCCTTCACCACGGTGTATGACGTGGACAATGACGACGACCTGCTGTAGGACGACGCCGAGGAGGATGAGGAGTTTCCGGAGCTCGACCCCGACATGCTAGCCGACCCCGAGCACCGTTGGGACATCTCGACGATGACGGTGAAGGAGGCGTTGGCGAGCTGGAAGGGCCCGGCGGTGAAGGCCGCCATGGAGGAGGAGATTCGCAGCCTCCTCAACATGGGAACGTGGGAGTTGGTCGAACGTCCGCCGGGAGTGAACGTCATGAAGAACCGGTGGGTGTTGACGACGAAGTACCACGTCGACGACACCGTCGAGCGCGAGAAGGCGAGGCTGGTCGTGAAGGGCTTCACACAGGTGTATGGCGCCGACTACGACGAGACGTTCGCGCCGGTGAGCAGCTATGTCACGTTGAGGATCTTCCTCAGCATCGTCGCTGTCCGCAACCTCAACCTGATGCAGCTCGACATGAAGAACGCCTTCTTGCAGAGCAAGCTCGACAGGGTGCTCTACATGTCCCAGCCGGACTTTTTCAACGAGGGGACCGGCCGGGTCGACGAGGCTCTCTACTTCAAGGACGGAAAGGACGGAGTGGCTTGCTGGGTGCTGGTCTACGTCGACGACCTACTTGCCGCCAGCAGTAGCGCCGCGATGTTGAAGGAGCTGAAGGAGCTTCTGGAAGCCACCTTCGAGCTGCGTGAGATCTCGCCGGTGCAGAAGTACCTCGGGCTGGAGATCGTCCGCGACAGGTCGGCGGGGAAGCTGTGGCTGCACCAGCAGGGCTACGCCAACAAGCTCCGTAGGCGCTTCATCGACGAGGAGCAGACCGGGCGCACCCCGAAGACGCCGGTCTCGGTCGATGCCTACGCCGAGCTCACGTTCGATGACGAGGAGGCACAGGAGCGGCAGGAAGAGGAGTACCGGCAGAAGGTCGGCTCGCTGCAGTTCGCGGCGACGACGACGAGGCCGGACATCGCCTTCGCCTGCAGCAAGCTGGGGAGCGGCCTCACGGTGAGGAGCGACCAGCACTGGCGCGAGGTCGACCGCTGCCTCACCTACCTCGCCAATACGCGCGACACCGCACTGGAGTTCGGCGGTGGACCTGAGTCGCTGGAGCTAGTCGGCTACGTGGACGCCGACGACGCCAGTGACAAGCAGAACAGGACGAGCACGGGTGGCTACGTGTTCGTCTATGGAGGGGCCGCAGTCTCCTGGTCGAGCCAGCGCATCAAGTGTGCGACGTTGTCATCGACTGAGTCGGAGTACGTGGCAGCCACCGAAGCCGGCAAGGAAGGACGCCGACTTCGCTTCCTCCTTGCAGAGTTCCGGCAGTTGGATGCCGGGAAGCCGACCGTCCTTCGGGTGGACAACAAGTCGGCCATCACAGTCGTCGAGGGCATGGGGTTGACGGGCAACCTCAAGCACATGGAGCGGCGACAGGCCTGGCTGCAGCACATGGTGAAGCGCGGGAAGTTCTCGCTGAGGTACATCCCGACCAGTGAGCAGCCGGCCGACTTCCTGACAAAGGCGCTGCACTATCCGGCCTTCAACCGGTGCTCCGTTGCCATCGGCCAGGTGCGCTTGGCCGACGTGGGCGACGAAGATGACAACGTGCAGCAGTAGGTGCCATGCCCTCTTGCATGGCTGGTGCGGTGACCAGCGTGCTGTGTGTTGGGTGCACGCTGACGGGCTATTCTCAGAGCTGTACTGCCGTGTGGGCTGGGTGCCCAAGCGTGAACGCGGCAGGGGAGTGTCAACGGGAGTTGGGTATTGGCCCCGTCCTCGCTTGGGCGGAGCCGACTTCGTGGTCGGGTGTGAGGGGAGCAGCCGACCTGTAGCAGTGGGTGAGCTGGTCGACGAGGAGGTCGACCTGCACGGGGGACCACTGCACGGGCGCCGACTTCAGGGTGGCGCCGACTTCAGGGAGGTCGTCTTGGGAGTTGACCTTCGGAGGACGTCAACTTGGTGAAGCCGACTTCGGCGGTCGGCTAACGGACTGCTAGTCGACCTGTTAGTGGTCGACTGGACCTGGTGGTCGACGAAGGAGGGGCCGACGTCGACCTTGACTCAGGGCACCAAGCAGGAAGACGCCGAGCAGGAGGACGCCGCCCTGGAGGCCTGGTTGGCGTCCCGTGCGTCTGCACGGCGTCCGGGGTCCGGACGCCGATCTGGGCGTCGGGTCCCGACACCGACCTGGGTGTCTAGTCGGCCTCCTGGGAGGAGGGACGCCGCTTTGGAGGTGTGGTCGGCGTCCCGGGCGTCTGGACGCCGACCAGGGGGTTCGGAAGGCGTCCTGGGCGCCTGGACGCCAGACTGGGGACGCCGGGCATGCGTGACCGGCTACGGACTGCGTGAGCCGACCAGGCGTGGTTGCCCGGTCGATCGGGATACCCGGGCGACGTGCGCGAGTGTCGCCAGGGTGGAGACTGCGAGGCCGACCTCGGGGGTGGTATCCCAAGGTCGACGTGGCTGGTGGGCACAGTCGCTGGCGTGGAGTCTGCCAGGCGTCTGCGTTGCGCACATGACAGGGAAGTGCGCACCAACCAGCTGCGCGCACCTGCGAAGCAGGTGCACCGTTGTCCTGCGGGTGCAACGCTGGGCAGCCGACTTGGTGCAGCGCTGGCACACCGTGGACTTGCAACGTTGGCGAACCGCTACCCTGCTACGCTGGAGGTCGACCAGCAGCCTAGCTAGCTCTGATGTAGTCAATGTTGCCAATGTTGTTGCTACCATTGTTCTGAACTTTTCCTAGTGAAACTCTTGCCAATTTTCCCCGTGAACTAGCAAGTAGTGTGTGCACAAGGAAAACGACTAAGGACTAACGAACGCAGAGATCACACGAGCACACGTGCCTAGCCCGTAGCCTAGCTCCCGTTGTTGCAGTTATCTCCGCAGGGGTGACCAAGGCGGTGGTGCCAGAGGAGAGTCTGGTGAGACAGGAGGCGACATGAGCAAGGGGCAGACTCAGGACCGGACCGGGACGCTGCAGCAAACACCTGACCAGACGCAGCTACCGGACCAGACGCAGTAACTGGAGGGTACGTAGTAGTCAGGGTGTATAGGCTCGACCAAGGCTGACGAGTGAACATGGCCAGGTGCCGGCCCATACGTGTACACGTACAGTGGGTCACCCGCTGACCTCCAGGAGTGAATTGGTCAACCCACACATCCTGAAGGTCAGCTCCACTCACCAAGTTCGTGGAGAACGAGGGGAGGTGGAAACCGGACAGGGAGCTTGACAGGACCACCGTACACAGCAGAACTGTGGAGGAAAGCGCAAGGACCGGACCCCCAGAGGGTTCAGCCAGGGAGACTGCCACTAGCCGGCTGAGTGGCATGAGTGTGGTGCAGTCGCGAAAGAAGGAACAGGAAGCACTTGAGTCAAGGGTGAAAGCATGTAGAACCTTAGCCGACGCGGTACTTGAGAGAGCAGCCTCACCAGCACCTGGAGTAGCAAACTCAGTAGCACCTAGAGCAGCAACCTCAATGCCCGGGTCGGGCGGAACACACAGGTAACAGTCACCCTCAACACTAATAGTCACAGCATACATAGCAGCAAGGATAGCATCATAATCAAGATCAAAGATAGCAACCCCCGACCTAAACAAATCACCCCAGCGAGGGATCTCAGTGGCGTCAGGAAACTGTGCACGCCAAGCGTCTATCAGGCGGCCGAAGCAGCGGTGCGTAGCGTGCGGCAGTCCGCACGTCTCCCCACTGCGCTCACCGGTGCGGAGAACGTAAGCGCAGGGACCAGCACCCCCAGACCTCCCACGCTCAGCGTACCACTCACGAAGCTGCTGGGGCGACGGGTCTCATGAGAACGCTGCTGCTACTGGCGTTGGCTACCGCCAAGGCCTCTCCGCTGCACAGCTGCACCTCGACCAGCACCACTGCCGCCTCCACCCCTACCGCTGCTGCCGCCGCCGCCTCCACCTCCACCACCGCCACCTAAGTCCCCACTCCCACCGCCACCTCCACTTCCACCCCCACCCCCACCCCCTCCACCTCCTCCACCGCCACCACCACCGCCACCACCGTCGCCCCCGCCGTCCCCTCCACCACCCTTGCCCCCCTTGCCCTTGCCGCTGCAGCATCTCCCACTAGGAGTAGATACAGCTCCGACCAACTTAGTGCCAACGAGGTCGACAGCAGCAGTAGATACAACAAAGGGCAAGAGGGGAATAGGGGAGCACCCCTTAAAGAAAGGGGCACGAGGGCCACCACGAGAGGCTCCTACAGTGACTATACTCTTCTCAGCTGCAAAGAGGCGCTCCTCGAGGAGGTCAACAGTGAGCGTGGTGGGGCAAAGGGAGAGGAAGTGGTCGCTGACTTGGCGAAGGGAGTGAGGGAGCTGGGTGACGAGGTAGTAGAGGGTGATGTACATAAGGGGGGGGTTCTTGGCGCAGAACTTGGCGGGAGCGCATCGCGGTAGTGGGTGTCACTGGTGCGGAGGTGGATAATGAGGTCAGTGACTGTGGCAAAAGCGGCGAGGTCAGGGAACAGGTACGGCAGCATGAGGCGGCTGAGAGCAGCAGTGGCAGGGGAGGAGTAGCGCGCAATAAGAGCGACATACAGAGTCTTAGCAGTCTTGTACTGGCCAAAGTGCGCGCGCTCAGCAGAGGGCAGGTGACTACGAACAGCAAGACGAGCAGCAGCATCATGCGTGGTCCACTGCGAGCGAACTGTACTGCCAACATCGGCAGCAGGTGCAACAGAGACGCCGGGCGTGTGATCAAACAGTGAGACTCCGTCCCTAGAGTCGCACTGCAGAAAAAGCTGTAGATCATTGACCCAGACCTCAAAATCGACTGCTCGACCCTCAGCATTGAAGGTAAGTACATTAGGGCTAGCCATGGCGGCAGTAGCAGGAGCAGTAGTAGTAGCACCAGCAGCAGTAGCAGTAGCAGTAGCAGTAGCAGTAACAGCAGCAGGAGTAGCAGCGCGACTCGGTAGGGCGATGCGTTTCGGCAGGGCGGCGCGGGTGCGGCGGTGTGCTTACCATGGGCGGGAGTTGGGTGGGGCCGCGACTGGAAGGGCAGGGCCGTGGCGCGCCGGCAGGGCAGAGGCCGTGACAGGCAGGGCCGCGAGGAAGCAGCAGGGCACGGCCGCGGTAGGGCTGTAGTTCAGGGCCGCGTCAGGCAGGGCCGCGACGAGGCGGCAGTGCAGGGCGGCGACGCGGGCGCTGGGCAGGGCCGCATCTCGGCGGCTGCAAGGAGGGCTGCATCGAGGCTGCGACTTGGTGGCAGGTCAGGGCCGCGTCTTGTAGGGCGGGGGCCGCGACGAGCCGGCAGGGACAGGGCCGCAACGAGGCGGCAAGGACAGGGCCGCGACGAGGCGGCAGGGACGGGGCCGCGACTTGCAGGGCAGGGGCCGCGACAAGCCGGCACGGAAGGGGCCGCAACGAGGCGGCAGGGTAGGGCCGCGACTAGGCGGCGGGAGAGTAGGGCCGCGACCGACAGCAGAGGCGGGCCGCTAAGGGCGGTGACTAGGGCTAGGGCGGGCCGCGGCGGTAAGAAAAGGGCCTCGACGGGCCGTAGGGGTAAGGGCGCGACGGGCCGCAAGGGCAGGGCCGCTAAGGGCGGCGCTAGGGCAGAGCGCGCAACGGCGTAGGCGAGGCAGGCCCGACAGGCGCTTCGGGCAGGGCAGTAAAAAAAAAAACTTCAACACGGTGGGCCCTTCAAAAAAACGTTCCCACTAGGGAACCTGCTCTGAAACCATGTTACAAAGTAGGAAACTAGAATGACTAGAAACAGGAGAGTACAAGGTTTGTATAGGCAAAACCTAACAGTAGTGTACCCCATGAGGAATGCCCCACTACAACCTACAATATAGTTCTGACAGTCATATGCACAGCGCAGGCGCCCAGGTCGACTCCACGCCAGCGACTGCGCCCACCAGCCACGTCGACCTCGGGATACCACTTCCGAGGTTGGAATGCAAAACTACCCTGGCGACCTTTGAATACGCCACCCGGGTATCCCGGTCGACCAGGCAACCACCTTATCGACCAGCACCTCGTTCACGTGCCCGTTGACCACCCAGATCAACGACCACATCCAGTTGGTCGCCGGCTGCACTAGCCCGGCGTCCCAAAATTAGGCGCCTTCTAACCCGGTGCCTTGCTACTCAACGCCCCGCTGCTTAGCATCCCAAGACTCCCCTGTCCAAGTCGACGTCGGCGTCCCTCCTCCGACGACCACTAGGTCAAGTCGTCCACTATAGGTTGACTACCCCAAACTCGGCGCCGGTGCAGTGGCCCCCGCGTAGGTCGACCATCCTCGTGGACCAGCTCACCCACTGCTTCAGGTCGACTGCTCCCCTCACGCCCGACCACTGGGTTGGCTTTGCCCAAGCGAGGATGGGGCCAAACAACACTCCCGTTGATAGAGAGGGGGAACGTAAGGGCAGTGCATCGGGTAAGGAAAGCCTGTTTGGCATGATGGATGGTACAAGAGAGGGAGCATTGCAAGGTAATAGAGTGAACTTGCTTGCTTTCAAATGACCATGCACGCCCTTGCATGGTGTGCAGAGCGGGCATTGCTGAACTTGATGCTGCAATGCTACCGTTCCCCTTGCATCCGAGGGTCCAGCCAATATTCACTGTCAATTTGAAATATTCTATTACCTATCAACATTCCGATGCAGGTTCGTGATGCCAGACGTTAACGTTGAACTATCTGGAGTCATTTTGTCACCCATCACAGCCAGTACAGCGCTTCAAAAACTGTCAGTGGTGCAGTTCACGTGCGAGGGAATGGCCATAGGGGAACTCGAAGAGCCACTAGATTGAGTGCTTGGTTCACTCATTCGCCTCTCTTAAAACCACCTTTTCCCACTTGCATTGCATGACTCTTTGCAAGGAGTTGACTTGGTGCGCCTTCACTGGAAGCGTGTATTTCTTGTCCCGTTTCTCTCATCTCTGTTGCTCTTTCCTCTCTATTGATCCACCTTTCCATCCCCCTCTATACCTTACTCTAACCTTTTCAATGCCCACCATGTTAACTCCCTCTCGTGCAAAATCGGTCTGCCTGCCTCACCCACGTGCCAATGCCATGACAGTGATCTGCACTCCACCAAATTAAGTGGATCGATTTGTCACATTTGCATGAATGTGAACGTGATAAGCGAGGAGAGAATGGGGCTGTACAAATTGTACATACTGTATATAGCGAGCGGCGCACTGCCGAGGATGGGAGGCGAAGGGTCAAGGTGGTGCCTGTGGTGAGCAGGGAGACCAATGGGTGCGAGGAAGGGTGATGACTGCCAAAGCGAAGGGTCGGGGAATGCATGGCTGCGGTATGGGGCGGCACTTACGTAAGCAAAAGGAGGAAGTGAGGGGGAATTGCGGTGCAAGGCAGCGGCAGCAGAGGCAGGGAGTTGCCACCGGCACTTGGATAGGTATACGCGTGCATGTGTGTTTGTTTCCCTGTGTGTGCCGGCAAGCTCTCCGGAGCCAGCTGGATCTGGAAGTGTTAGCTGGATCTGGAAGTGTCAGCTGGAGGCAAAGTAGCCAGAGGCGGAGAACACAGTTGGCAGGCAGCAGGGATGTACGTCTTCTCAAAGTTCGCCACAGCAGCTAGAGAGGAGACTAGGGAAGGAGTAGAGCAGCGGGGAGGCAGAGCTGGTAGAATAGGTGGAACCTGGGAGAGCTAGCCTCAATGCTTGTATGTTTCTTTTGTAACACGAATTTCTTGCACTTAGCTAAGCAAGTAGTGAGAAGAAGGAGATATTGCAAGCAGAGATGTGATAAGCAGCTTGGTTAGAGAGTTATGTGAGGGAGCTAGAGCTTATCACATAGTGAGAGCATCAAAGTGAGCAACGACTGGAGAGAGGAGTGGAGATCAAGAGATGGGAGAGGAAGGATAACAGGCAGGGACAAAGGTAACACAGGGAGAACTGGAAACCTAGAGAGAGGACAGCAGCTATGAGTAGAGGTCTGAGAGAGAGCGGCAAGGGATGAAGGGAGGTGGTGAGATTCCGGCAGATTCCTGAATCCATTGGAAATACCACAAATCTGCAGCACCTGTGAGAGGGGATTCTAGTGTCATTGCTTGCACTTGCTGCTTTGGCTCACGAGGGCAGCTCAGATTACAATGATGCCTGCATTTTGGTTTGCAGATGGAGCAGCACCTCTTCGATTTCAGTTTCGGACGATTCGAGACTCAGCCTCATTTGTTAGTCCACCCCTTGTCATATCCATCCCATGCTAGTGACCTGTCGGACATTGCTGATCTCAGTGGAAGTCTCCCATCCAACTCCAGTCGCCTCATTGCACTCACCTACCTGTACCTCCCATCTTCTCTTTTGTAAATCGTAAACCTCCTCCTTACCCTCCTCCTCCTCCTTCTCCTTCTCCTCCTCCTCCTCCTTCTCCTCCACCTCCTCCTCCTCCTCCACCTCCTCCTCCACCTCCTCCTCCTCCTCCTCCTCCTCCCCCGCCTCCTCCTCCTTCTCTTCCTCCTCCACCTCCTCCTCCTCCTCCTCCTCCTTCTCCTCCTCCTCCTCCTCATCTTCCTCCTACTCCTCCTCCTCCTCCTCCTCCTCCTCCTCCTCCTCCTCCTCCTCCTCCTCCTCCTCCTCCTCCTTGTTGCACCTCCCTGCTGCCATGTGCATTGCTTGCAGCCCGGGTGGATTAGCAAGTTGCGATTTGCTCTCTCCACATCCTAACCGCTGCTCCTCTTTCTTCTAGTCTGGATCCATCAGTTGCGTGCATGGTTTTTCCCCCACCCAGCTTCCCTTTCCACCCTCTGCATTGCCTCTCATGCAGGTCCATTGGAATGTCTCAGTACAATCACTACCCTTAACCTAATCCTGGCTTTGATTATTACCTGTAAAATTGCCCAACAGAGTAAGAATGATGGGGTATAGCTTCCTGCTGCTGCTATGGTGCATGGTGCATGCTATTCTATGGGACATGGTGCATGCTATTGTGCATGCCATGCCATGGTGCATGCTATGGGGCATGCCACGGTGCATGCTATGGTGCATGCCATTGTGCATGCTATGGTGTATGCCATGGTGCATGCAATGGTGCATGCATCCCATGGTGCATGCCATCGTGCATGGTATGGAGCATGCCATGTTGCATGCTATGATGCATGCTATTCTGCATGCCATGGTGCATGCTATGGTGCATGCCATGGTGCATGCTATGGTGCATGCCATGGTGCATGATATGGGGCATGCCGTGCTATGGTGCATTTCATGGTGCATGCTATGGTGTATGCCATGGTGCATGCTATGGTGCTATTGTGCATGCAATGGTGCATGCTGTGGTGCATTCCATGGTGCACGGTATGGTGCATGCCATGGTGCATGGTATGGTGCATGCCATGGTGCATGCTATGGTACATGCTATGGTGCAGGCCACGGTACATGCTATGGTGCATGCCATGGTGCATGCTATGGCGCATGCTATGGTGCATGTTATGGTGCATGTCATGGTGCATGCTATGGTGCATGCCATGGTACATGCAATGGTGCATGCTGTGGTGCATGCCAATATACTTGCTATGGTTCATGTCATGGTGAATGGTATGGTGCATGCCATGGTGCATGTTATAATGCATGCTATGGTGCATGCCATGGTGCATGCTATGGTGCATGCCATGGTGCATGCTATGGTGCACGCCATGGTGCATGCCATGGTGCATGCCATGGTGCATGCTATGGTGCATGCCATAGTGCATGCTATGGTCCATGTCATGGTGCATACTGTGGTGCATGCTATGGTGCATGCTATGGTGTTATTGTGCATGCAATGGTGCATGCTGTGGTGCATTCCATGGTGCACGGTATGGTGCATGCCATGGTGCATGGTATGGTGCATGCCATGGTGCATGCTATGGTACATGCTATGGTGCAGGCCACGGTACATGCTATGGTGCATGCCATGTTGCATGCTATGGTGCATGCCATGGTGCATGTTATGGTGCATTCCATGGTGCATGCTATGGTGCATGCTATGGCGCATGCTATGGTGTATGCAATGGTGCATGCTGTGGTGCATGCCATTATACTTGCTATGGTTCATGCCATGGTGAATGTTATGGTGCATGCCATGGTGCATGTTATGGTGCATGCTATGGTGCATGGCATGGTGCATGTTATGGTGCATGCCATGGTGCATGCTATGGTGCATGCCATGGTGCATGTTATGGTGCATGTTATGGTGCATGCTATGGTGCATGCCATGGTGCATGGTATGGTGTATGCCATGGTGCATGCTATGGTGCATGTCATGGTGCATGCTATGGTGCATGCAATGGTGCATGCTATCCTGCATGCCATGGTGCATGCTATGGTGCATGCCATGGTGCATGCTATGGCGCATGCTATGGTGCATGCTATGGTGCATGCTATGGTGCATGCTATGGTGCATGCTGCACAGTGGAGGAGGGAAGTGCAGCAGGGTAGCTCATGTGGTGATACCAGCCGTCTGGTCCAACATCTGTTCACACGCCTCAGTGCTTCTCATTCTCCAACCTTCTCGGTTCCACAACTCCATGCATCCACACACACCAGGCGTCTGTTTCTCCCCACTGCAACCACTGCTGCTGCTGCTGTGGCTCCGTTTCTCGCTGTCTGCAAACGCATCCACAGTAAGCATCACGATCCTCTTCCTCCCTTTTCCCTGCTCTCGCCCTCCCTTGCAGCGTTCTCTCAATTACAATTACCATGAAACCCCCTATGCTGCAAAGCCCCATGGCCGACCTCTCCTCTCTCGCCCCGCTCACTCGCCTACAGCATCTGTACGCCCCTCTTTCCCCTTCCCCAAACTCGTCCCTGCCCCCCTTCCCCTGCCCTCTCTCTCATCCCTGACCGCCTTCCTTTCTTGCTCTGCTAACTCCTAGTGCGCTTCATTGCTCAACAATCAATCCAGCACCGTTGTTCATGGAACCTCATGCTCTTGCATACCGCGGCACGCACCCATCCAAGTAGTTCTCACCCTGCTCCAGCCCCCCTCTCTCTCTCCCACATTTCACTTGCTTCATTCCAAACGCCTCACTCTCACATTCTCTTTCCTCGCAAGCTTTCCAAAGTGCACCCATGCCTCTCTCTCTGTCACACTCACTTCCCCTCAGTACTCTCATGACTCTTAACCTGATGCCTGAAGAGCTCCCTTCCCCTCTCTCTCTCCCCTTACTTCACTCACAACCCTGTAAGCCCCTTCCTCCTGCTCGTAAGCATGCCGCTTTATCGTTTTCTCCCATGGTTTGTGCATGGTGGTTAAGAAGTAAACCCCCAGCACATCTGTTACATTGTTGGCATCCTTCACGTGCTGTTGGATAGGCCCTGGGCATGTGATTGTTTGTTGAATCATTGCATCGCATAAGTGTATCAGTATAGCTGAATCAAATCCAGCGAAATGCACCTCTTCCAAAAAGGAGCAAACACGTTTCTCATATGTTGCGAAATTGGATGCGTTTCCTATTTCCTGCCACCGTTAACAAGCCCCGGCCATCAGGCGCCATTAGTCATGCCCACGGTTCAATGCGGAGGGGAGCTTGGCGGTGCCACGCCCTCTCTCACCCCACTTTTCTTCCCTCTCTCGCAGTGACCTGAGGTTCCTATCCATCACCCGCTTACCGCAATGGATTGCATTGCTCCCCAACCTTTTTACACTGTGAGTGCCATACCACCACTGGCTCCTCGCGCCACCCTGCTCTCATCATCTCATCACTACTTTTTATTATATCTTGCCCCTGATTCACTTGGGATAAGAGAGGACAACGTGCATCCTCAATGTGGAATCCATCTTGCGACTCGCCACACTCTTGCGATGTGCACACTCACTCTCTGCTTGCTTTGCCCACTGTCAAAGCCGTTCTTTATAGTGCTAAAAGCTGCTCCCCAAGTGAGTTTTCCCTCTTTTATTGGAGTGTTTCCCTCGTCTCCCTACTGCTCTGTACCAGGCTCCTTTCCCCTATGCCACGCATGGACCATGGCAGGCGAGGGCTGTGCATGATGGCTAGAGGGATGTAGTCTCATGTACATCAATTCCACCTGCACTGCTCGCCCGCTGTGCATTTCAAGCGATTGGAGTGATCTTTGCCTCCTCCATCCCCCTGCTCTTGACCACCGTGCATGAATGTTACTGGCAATTTTAAAGTCCACCACTCTACACCAATCCCCACTGAATGGACGGCGCTCATAGGGCTGGAAACTTAGTGAGCCCTCCAGCGTGTCACGAGCACACCGCTTTGGATTGGCACCTTGAACTTCTTATCTCACCGTGCTGGTCTCAGATACCGAGGCAACCGCTCACAAATATCCGTTCCATACATTGCCCACCAGCCACTAGTCCTTTCTCCACCGTTCCATTCCTCACGTTGTTGGCATTGCTCTGTGGTCCGCATTGCATTGCTCTCGTCAGCCCATAGAGTCGTTGCTTTGCACTATCCAGATTACACATGCGTGCCTTAGCCTTTGTCCACACATGCATGCCTTGGCCCCTCCTCACATCTGTGTGCCTTGGCCCCTCCCCGCACATGCGTTTGTTGGCCTCTCCCCACGCGCCGCTGCCTCCACACAACACAAGGGGCCTCCTTCAATAATCTCACCGATGCTGTTCCTGGCATCATTAACGCAAACCTCCAAACTATGGCCTGCCTCGCCCCGCATGCGCACACGAGTGGTTTGGAATCGCAATGCACCTCTGTGTTGCAAATTGCGTGCCAAGTGTCAGCCAAATGGAATCAAATGGCGGGATCTTCCGGGATGTCATATGAAGTCAAATGCTGTTTCCGCGTGTGGCAGCTCTCTGCAAAGCAGACACCCTTTAAAGCCGTCTTGCTGTTGCTTTGGTAGTGCATTTGTGGTTTGGTTAAGCGATCAGCCATTGTGTCACCTTGTTCCTGATAGCTTAAGCAGGACGTGGAATTGTCACCCCAGCATGTTCTCAGAAGATCCGTTCACTTCACTTTAGTCTTCCCACTCACCACCGTGTCATGATGATGCCTCATGCACCTTTTTTTTCCCAGACCTGCCTCGTGCTCCTCCAATTCCGAGGCCGTTCCAAACCCACCCAGCTTCTTAGCATGTGGCACTCACACATTCTCGCTCCTACCTCAGCGTGCATGTCTCCTCCTTTCCTTCTCATCCTGACCCTTTTGCCTGCCCTGCCATCAATGCGTGCAGAGACCTCTCCCACAATCACCTCACCATAATTCCTCTGTGAGTCCCGAGTGGATTGATATCGCAGGGACATGAGTGAGCCATGGGGAGTTAGGGAGAAAGCAAGGTACAAGGGGAGAGGGGTCAGGCCGCACAAAACTTCACCACTCCCCTTGCGACGAGTGCAGCGTTGCCTGGAAGTGTGACAACATCTTCAAGACGGCTGCATTTGAAACAACACCCAGGTAGGACTTACGTGTCTTAATCCAGCCGCTTGATTGGGGTTCTTGTTTCACTTTCATATGACACGTGACTTACTTTACAAGTCACATGAATTGACTCGAGTCAGCCCTAACTCACAAACTCAAGTCTAGTCATGATTGGGGCGTGTCACTGCATGAATCTTTGCTTACTCATTTCTTCCATGCGTGGTTCCCCAGCTTGCATGAGATGACGGGCTGGTGGCATGGTGAAAGGGGGCTGTTGCTAAGATGAGGCATGGTGAAAGGGGGCTGTTGCTGAGATGACGAGGTGGCATGGTGAAAGGGGGTTGTTGCTGAGATGACGGGCTGGTGGCATGGCGAAAGGGGGCTATTGCTGAGATGACGGGCTGGTGGCATGGTAAAATGGGGCGTGCAATTGCCTCGGTGGCTGCCT